CAGTTGGCACTTTCTGGCCGTCAGATCTCTGGCAAAGACTCTGGAGCCCTGGTTTCGCTCGATCGCTTCTTCAGTACGAGCAGTATTAAAGTTGCATAAGTCCCGCCGCATGCGTTTGGGAATCTGTATGTTCAGTTGCCTATATGCTATCAAATCTACTGAAGATTGCAACTTCATTTCCCATCTAACAGCCATGAGATTAAGAGTGTGATCGGAGAATTTTTGTGTTCTTCTGCGGCAGATCTTGCAAAACTTAGCTCCGACCACATGGAGAGTTTCCAAGAGCTTGTCATTTATATCGTCCACTACATTGTAATCTTCTAGGCACTGAAAACGATTTTTAACTCGAGCTGAAAGTTTCGGGACTTTGGATTAGAGCACGAGGTTGACAGAGCGTTGACTTCATTAGACGTGACCTCTTCAACTTAACGTTTAGGTTCAGCGTGCCTCTAACCATATGGTGATTCAGTTTTCAGATCAGTTTTCGCCCTCGTGATCACTGAGACATCACTGAACAGTTGTCGTCTAGTCGTCAATAAATTCAATAAAGGGACGTATCGCCATTAAAATAATAGAATGTGACATAAGTTAGTGCTACAGTCAGCTTAGCTGCGGTTTCTGTGCTCAAATCTAAACTTTTTAATTGAATTGATCCTCGTTTTAAGTTCTTCTGAATATAAAAGTATCATGAAAAGTTAGTACTTCCCAGAAAGTAAATTGCAAGAAATTTTTAATATGTCTTTTATAATTTCAATGTATGTGATATTAGTGAAGTAGTGCACGCAATACTTTGTATTCCGATCTGAAGAGTAATGGGTATTATACAAGATAATTAAAGGCTGTCTTAGGCCTTCCGCGCACTAGGCAGCCTGGCTGCGCAGCCAGGCTGCGGTGGCCGAAATATTTGAGCAGCCACATCTAAACAGCCTGTGGACGGCCAATTGTGACCCTGTCTTCGTCATTTTGTAGTTTCGGAACACAAAATACGCCTGGCTGCTACGACAAGTGCGCGGTGACTAACGGCACCCACATACATTTGCAGAATAATAATACTGAAAATTTGAAATTGGAATTTCTGTATTGTAGTAGACTTTTTATTATGATGTTAAGTGGGGTTTTTAACTGGTGTTAAATTAATGGGAAATAGTGGTTCTTTACTGCTGGCCGTATGAGAAAGCTGACGGTCACTGAATGAGTTATGGAAAAGGCTATATATGCTCGGTATTTTCAGCGTGATAAACTTAGATATGAGGTTATCCGCAGTAAAATCAGAGTAACCGACATAGCCCAATGGATTAGTAAGTGGAATTCTCCTCGGAAAACCTTATTATTGTCACCGTTAGGGATATTATCGTTCTCACTATGTAACCACAGTCTCTACAATGTGTCATTCTGATAGTGGAATTCAATAAATTATACCCATATCACTATCAATTTCACTTATTTCTATTCATTGAGCATTTAGACGGTTTGAATTTGACTTGGAAATATATTTTATTGAGCATGAAAATATGCATTAATTTGCTTTTTGCATAAATATGTCTGACGTAAAGTAAAATTGACTTCTAAGATAGAAAGACGTTCAGAATGAAATGCGAAATAATTTTTGCAAATACTTTAATATCTTCTCTCTTTAATATTTACTTCTCTAGACTGCAATTGGGGAAAGTTTAAAAATAAATCCTAAATTATGCCATATTAAACTACTGCAATAAGCAGGAAACGGAACCCAATTAACGAAATGAAATCTATTTAAAATGAATGCTAAAATTTTAAAGGCAATTCCAACCTTACTAATGTGAGAAAAGTGATTTTAGTTTTAACGAGATTTCCTTCGAGCCAAATTACTGTTGCTCAACAGTAATTTCTAACTTTCAACACACTTTTGTTTTAGCTTCGACGATGCAGCCTGTAAGTATAATTACTTCTAAAAAAATTTAAAGTGCATGCCTTGATCCCAAAAAATGCATTTTTCCCATTCTTATATTTTAAGGGTGCGTCTAATTTGTTTGAAATATATTTTATATACTTTTATTTTAACACTGCTTACTATTTGTATTAGAAATATACTAATATAATAACAAACTTTGTATAATATAATATCTAACGTAGATATTTACTTTAAATAATACATATATTTTTGATTCGAACATATTATATTACTTATCGTCGTAAGAGAGTCGTAAGAGAGATGGGCAGCAGCATCTTCTTGATAACAACTCAAAACAATAAAAACTGCGGTCGCCATACCGCTTGTCAAGCGCTTGGCATCTATGGCAAAATTCCCACATGAGGCAATCTATGAGGGAGGCTTATATTTAGTAGTGGACTTTTAAAGGCTGTAATTAATGAATGGATTACTTATCCAATTTTTATAAAAATTATGACACGAAAGTCGTAAACAATAAAGATTTATCCAAATCACAGAAATAGAGGTTCCATAAGTGAATTTCATTGAATGAATATGAATCATCAAAGTGGTAAGTGAAATCTTTGGGTAAGAACTTCTGATAAGCTTAGTTGATTAATTGCTTCAGATATTCGCATACCAACAGACCGACTGACAACACGGTAATTAATCGCATTTTTCTACACTTACATAAAAGTCATTTAGTCTGAAAATGAAAGAAGAGATAGAAAGAAAACATAATTAAAAAGTCTAAAATAGTCTTTCGTCCGTTAGAAAAATTGATTACCATTTGAGAGAGTGTTTTCTCTACTATAAAAATAATAATGTTGTGTGTGTTTCTTTACACGTACAGCTGTAAGTTTTATCAGTAATAATATTAAAAAATATAAAAAAGAAATAAAAGAGTATAGAAACTTTTTCGAAACGATTCCACTCCGAAAGATTTGAAAGATCGTTAAAAATTATTAAGTCCGTCCGTCCAGTCATCTCGAAGAAAATTTTGGTAAATTACATTTTATATTCTCGCGATAATGGACAGCGACATTAAAAAAAATGTGGAATATTTTATAATTAAAATTAAAAGCATACATGTATATACCACCTAGTAAGAGTATATATAGTCCTACAAGGTGGGTCCGTCGGGAAGGTACCATGCTCTTACGTTTTTGTGCCACTAAATGGCAGTGCTTGCACGACTTTGTTCCGGTCTGAAGGCTATAGACAGCAAGAATAACTACAGGCTTATTTATTCCTAACCTTTTATGTTTAAAGTTGGCTGCCTTTTACATATACTCTAAGTTCGTTTGTCATATCAGTTTAAAAAAAACGTATTGCAAAACTTATATACAAGCTAATTAATAATATATAAAAGCATTAAGTTTATTAATTAGTTACTTTTAGGATAGCATTACTTGAAAAGTCGTTGTAAATAAAAGCCCAACATTTCAGCATCGTGATCGAGACGTGGAAAGAACAGGTGGTAAAATTAAAAATTATATTCAACCGACTTCAATATCAATAAAATGAGAACATCATCATCAATGTAGTCGAAGTCAATTAAATATGCATTATTAAGGATAATTCAAAAACTACTAGTCAGAGCTTGATCAAATTTTCACAAAGAGAAGCACCAGCTTTCAAGTAAAAAAAGAATCATCAAAATCGGTTTACCTAGAAAAAAGTTCTGAGGTAACAGACATAATTTTTTTTTATAGGATAAGGGTGACAAACGAGCACACAGTCCACCTGATGTTAAGTGGTTTCTGCGGCCCATAGACATCTACATCTATCCTCGTTTGCGAATCAAAATGCAGATGCGTTGTCACCCGTGAGGACTAAGATGTAATGCCTCATTTCCAGTAAAAAGGGCCTCCGGCCACCTGCACTCACCAAACGAAACGCAGAGGTAAACCTCTACTTCACGCTGGTATTCTGTGAGGTCGTGGTACTATCCCGGTTCGAGCTGGCCCATCCGTGCGACAGCAAAAGCTGCCGCGTGGCTCTACCACTGTTAATAAAAAAATACAGTCGTATTGACAACCTCCTCCTTTTTTGAAGTCGGTTTAAAAAGAAACATACGTTGACTCTTCACTGGCTCTCTATACTCTTTAAGCAGAGCTTTCTTTTTCACAGTTTTATATGGGGTACTAGCTGTGCCTCATGGTTTCACCCGCGTATATCACGCGTCTGAGCTGCGTGACCAGTGTTGCCAACATAGTGAATTTTCTATTAAAACTGATGGTTTCGGACCTTTTAAATTTTTTCTAGTGGTTAAGTAGAATTCAGTTTTAACTAGTGGAAAGATGTTCACTCAACCATTAAGTCCGTGTAAGTGGCTTAACGATAGAGTGATCGAGGTTTCGAAATATATTTCTTCTTAATTTATGGTCAATTTACTTTTACTGTGTAGGCAGGAATTCGTCAGACATGACGTGACGTCAGAAGATCCATCTCAGTGGCGCTATACTATTTATAGGATTTCTCATAGAATATTTTAGTAGTAGTTTACTAAAGTCATTGACGTATTCCTCTCTAGTTTTTCTGACTACCGTCCCATGTCCCTAATTCAGTGATGCACAGACTTATTAAGACTAGGGACCACTCGGGCAAATTATGAACTGATGGCGGGCCGACAGAAGTATATGTAATTAAAAACAATAAAGAATTGATAATAATGTATTAAAATTGAAAAACAATTTATTAATTTGAAGCGTAGCACTGCATAGTGCTTACAATCTTTTTTATATTTGGCTCAAATTTACTTGTAGCAACACGTAAAACTGCTTCAAAACTTTCATTTGCAAGGCGGTTTCGATTTTTTATTTTATTATTATTTAGTATTGAAAAGGTTTGTTCACATATATAGGTAGAACCAAATAAGCTGGCATATTACAGAGCGTTTATGCGCAACTCTTTGTACGTATTTTTATTAATGCAGCGGTTAAAGTTCAGCAAGTCTCCTTTGTTGAATTTGTTGCATAAATCTTGGTCGTTTTGAATGTCGATAATTTCTAACTGCATTGACTCTGGCGCATTTTCAACTGAAATCGTGAAAGGATTGCTGAATATGTCCAACAGAGATTTCATTTTATTACCTTACTTCTGTATAATACAGTAAATCCCCATATTCGCTTTCGATGTCATCAAGGAATTGTTTGAATTGCCTGTGATTGAGCCCTCGTGATTTTATGAAATTTACAGTCGAAACTACCACTTTCATGAAATTTTGAAATTCAATTTTTTTAGAACAGAGGGCTTCTTTGTGTATAATGCAGTGAAACTGCATGCGATCTTCAGCGTTTATGTTTTTTTCTTGCAGATGCCTTTTCAGCAAAGTAACTAGCCCAGAATTGACACCAATCATCGAAGGAGCACCGTCAGTTGCAACTCCCGGTAATTTTGATAAGTCCAAATCTTCTAAGACTTCAAAATCTTGAGTAACACCTCGTATGAATATCAGAAGTTCAGCTGTGGAACTAATATCAGTGGATTCGTCAAGTGCTAATGAAAAAAATTCAATGATCTTAGTTTTTTCATTTAATTGTTCCGCAATATTACCTGACAAAGACATAATTCGTCTTTTGATAGTCATACGATTCACTTGAATTTTCTCAAACTTTTTTGCTGCATACATTTTCTTAGCGGCAATTTCTATGCATTCTTTTACAAAATCCCCATCATTGAAGGGGCGACTTCGCTTTGCTATCATTCGAGAAATTTCATAACTAACTTCTGTAACTGTATCTGAATCTTGAATGAGTTTTGTAAACATAGCTTGCTGACCAATAAACTCCCGTTTTAAAGACAACATTTTATGCTTTCTTAATTCGCCTGTAAACTTGGTAAAAGTAGGATGCTGCGTTTCATAGTGCCTTTTTACATTATATTCCTTTGCAATCGCAACAGAATTCTTGCAAATTAAACAAACGACTTTGTTATGCGACCATAAAAAAAGTATTTCTCGGTCCAAATTTCTTGAAACTGCCGATTTTCATCTTTAACCTTACGTTTTTTACTAGGTCCTGGCTTGTCCATGTTGCGTCCTAATCCTGGCTAGGATTAACACAGCACCTAAAAACAATTACAGTACCTACTTAAATTACCCATCCTTTTTCAAATTACCAAAAATAATTGATTAAATAGGTTGGGAAACACTTATTAATAACATACTTTTACTTCCGATTTCACAACACAATTATACACGGCACTTGACGGGAAATCTACGTTGAATGTGGATCAAAATATATGACACCGGCTAGTCGAGTTAAAATCTAAACTAGAACTATTGACACTTCACTCAAATTAAAACCGAACTGTCGGTCGCTGCGGTTAGCGTGGCTTTTATACCGCGCGTATAGAGTCGAAAACTGTCTGGAGAAATCACAAAACCGACTCTGAAAGCTTCGTGTATCTACCTACGCGAGCAATCGGGAATTCGGGACTATTGGTATCTCGCTTGCTCTAACAATATAACCCGTGGATAAGCCGCCACCGCGCTGCCGTCGTCGCCACGCCGCCGGCTGCGGCGGTTCCTCAAGAAAACGAACGTTTAACCGAGATCAGCACGAACATTACCGACCGCTGTTACCGACGCATGCACGGCGCACCGATAAGCGCACTTAAGAGCGCGCGCGCGACATTAAAATTTCTTTTCGAACATATTTTTTTTGATTTTATTTTGGAATATAATTCAATAGTTTTCGAATGTACGAGAGTATTATTTTTGCTGTCGGCGGGCCACCAGTATTCGACCGGCGGGCCGCGGTCTGTGCATCTACGCCCTAATTCGCTTCCTTTCAAAAGTTGAGCCGCTTCTTATCTAGGTGGAGTCTTTTCAATCCTTTCCTATCCAGTTTCTGTGCTGGTCATAATAACACTACTGCTTTAGTCAAGATTACCGAAGATATTCGTCTTGTTATGGATAAAGAACAAGAAACAGTGTTGACCTTACTTGACTTCAGCAATGCATTAAACTGACAGCTATCATAGCTTCTCATGGTCTTAATGTAAATCCATCACAAACAAAAGCAGATAGGTTTCCTACTCTTTCTGATATTGTTTTGATGGACATCCATGCTATATAGTGACACTGTTAAAATGTAGCTGTTAATTTTGACAATTTTTTTTTATCTTAGAGTCTACAGGTAAAAGTGGTGAGGGTATTTGCGTCAGTAACATCTCTTCCGACATATACCAACCAAAATATTGCTTGCATAATCTCTCCTTTCCCCAATTCTCTATTATGTTGACACGTGTTATCTCAATTTAAATGAGTTGCATACTGAACCTTGGTATATGGTTCATATTTGAAAATATGATCATGTTTCCGTATTTCGCGAAAAATTCAAGAAGCTTCTGATCCGTCTTTGCAACAATACTCACATTCTTTCTCTTTTAGACTGTGTTCTATTCGATGCTAATTCATTAAAATAGCAGTTTAATAATAATAATATACATTTATTTGTACACCATACAAAGTCTTTCAACAATAAATACAAAATGTTTACTTATTATACACAGTATTTCGCTTCGCTACTATTATTTTACTTTGCTAGTAACAGTAACAGGTTTATGTACATTAGCAGGCTGTTTTAATAATATGTGGAGTATAAAAAGTTGTCTCACTGTCAAAACTTCACATGATTATATACGTCGCAATTTGGATATCGAAACGTTTTAAAAGTGCTTACTTTGAGTACTGCCTTTTTAGCACGCTCAATTAAAATCATGCATGTCTTTGCGGCTCCAAACCAAATATAAATACAGTAGCAAAGTATTGATTGACAAAGTGCAAAGTAAATAATTTTAATAAGGTTATGTTCAGCACCATCTTTCAGGCGTTTAAACACAAATATTAATTTACGGACCCTATTGACAACAAGCTTACGTGTATTCCCAAATATTTAAGAGAATGGACCTTTCTATACTAGGACAGTCACAGTTTGTTTTGGGAGACAGAAGGTTATCAGAATGATTGTGGGATATTATTTTATGATTAGGACGTAGTTTTAGAGACCGAGTACTAAATTTCATAAGCTTTGTTTTATCAACATTGAGCATGAGACCATTTTGTGTTAGCCAACTCTTGACAATGTTAAGACTATGCTGTTCTGATTTATACCTTTTCCCACGTTGTGTCGGAAAACACCAAAGCAGTATTGTCAGCAAAAAGCTATAAGTTTTCCCTTATCCACGCTGAGCTTATACATACTTTTTATATAAACTGAAAGCAAACCTAGGATGCTGCCCCTGGTGATCACCGTATTTAACCTCCTCATAATCACTTACCTAATTGCCTATTATTACACACTGTGTCCTGCTACTTAAGTAGCTTTTGAAAAGGTCAACCTTTCTGTTTATTTACAAGTCTAGAGATCAAAACTACATTGAAAGCTTTAGCTAGGTCTAAAATATAGCTAGGCATTTCATTTTGCTCATGTCATGTATTGCACCATTAGTCGATTGTCCCAAACGATAACCATACTGCCTGTTTGATAAAAGATTATGCCATTCCAAGTAATTTACAAGTAGTTTTTTTAAAAAGACTTTCTAACACTTTCAATAAAGACGAAAGCATTGAAATGGGCCAATAAAATTGTTAAAACGATTTTTCCCTCGTATTTGTAAATAGGATGTATGAGGGCTTTTTAAGGTCAGACGTAAAAAATCCTTTTGTAAAACTGAGGTTAAATACAAAGGAGAGCGGTGGTACTAATATACCTCTATAACGTTTTAAAATATGAGCAGTGATAACATCTACTCCAGCTAAACAATTAATAAGAAGTGCGAGGATCTGTTCTTTGATTTATGATCGGTTTTTAAAAGAACTAATATCATAGCCTGCGATTTCGTGGGATTAACTAATAGTCCAATGGATGCAGATCATTTATAGATGCGGTTCCGATCCGCCTACATGGCTTCAATTACATTATTTGTATTACACATCGGTAAATGGCGATGAATCTGTAAGTTGTCCGTGTAGAGATGGAAATTAGATGTAATAACTCTCGTAACAGAGTTAATAAATATAGAAAATAAAAGAGGAGAAAGAACGCTATTCTGAGGTTAGCGATACCGATCCGTAGTGATACCGACCTCGAAGTTACAAACCAAATCACGCAATATTAGATGGAGAAATGTTTATAGATTCCAGGATCCGGAGAAGAATATCGAAGTTTCCTGAGGTAAAAGCACTGCCAAAGTCAAGCGAAACTAAACAAAAGTGTAAGAGATTTGTTGTTTATGACCCAACGGATTTAATCGGTTACTTTAAGTAAAGCAGTGAGAGTTCTGTGACCAGGATGAAAGCCCGATTGATACGTAGAAAGCAAAAAGTTAGATGATAAGAAGAGAGAGAGAGATAGAGAGAGAGAGAGTTGCCTGTGGACATTGTGTTCCAAAACTTTAGACAGAAAGGGTAAAATAGATATGGGACGAAAATGAGATAGAGAAGAAAGATTAGAAACCTTAGGTAAAATAATTATATATGCTTATTTCCAAACTGAAGGAAAAGATGAGGACGATATGGAGTAACTCAATATGTGAGTAAGAATCCTATTTTTTTTCTTTAATTTTTTTTAGTTTCTTCTGACTTGCTTAACAAAAATTAATATTTAAAGCAAGCTGAGAAGTGTATCCTAATGTAAGTAGCTTATACTATTTTCTATGAATTTGGGTATAATATACAAAAATACTTTTTTAAATCGGACTGGTAGTTCCAGAGATTAGCGTATTTAAACAAAGAAATGGAAAACAAATAAAAACTCTTCCACTTTATTATATTAGTATAGATGATCAATGTGTGTAGTTTATTTATTTCTTAAAACCCTGATATTATTCAACTTTCGTCAGAGTGTAGGATCATTAAATCATAGTAATGTTTGAACTCAAGGATAAACCAATAAATTAAACAAATATTTCAATTAGTAACAGGAATTAGATCATTTGCGTTGTCATATTTACTACTAAATATGTTAAACCACATAACGCGGCAATAATGAGTTGTAAAATGTTATGAACAAGCTAAAATTTGCAAACACGAACCAGTTAGTGTAACTAATTGGAATCTAAAATAGCTGAATCTGCGGTCTGAGCTGAATGCATAATTGGATGTTGTTAGTCTGCTGAAATAAAACTTGCTTTCAATAACTGGACAAAAAGTGTACTAATTATAGGCAAAGACCTCTAACTTGTATTTTAGAAGTACTATTAAGTATACTTTGTTAAATAAAAGTTACTAATACTTTATGACTTATAGTTTTTCATCATTAATTCTTTAGTATTGATTAGTTTCTTATTATGATTTCTTATATTTACGCGAAGACTACACATAAAATGAAATTAATTTTTACGCATTTTATCGCGCTTAATTTACCTTTTTAATTTCCGACGTTTCTGGTGCTTTACAGCACCCATATTCACGGGAGGGGGGGGGGGGGAGGACTGAGATGTTTGACGTCCCGATGTCATAGTTAGCCCGGCTACCTTCAATTTTTGGATATTAATTGTTCAGGTTCTTATTGTTTGAAGTTATAAAAGAAAAAAATACATGATATTGCATTTTTTGGTGTTTTTTACAAGTCAGCACATAGTATTAGTTAAATGAAGAGGCAATGAGAAGTGGAAATGGATCTTAAAATGTGTAACTGGTGGAGCTATAGTCAAGCGTAGTGAATTTCGACACATCATAAGATGTGTCGAAATACGTGGTGAATGATGTGTGTGATATACGTGGTAGTTTTATAAACCGAATTAGGAATTTTATTGATCGCTTTCAAATTGAATAGCGTCTTCGTTATCTAAATTTAGTTA